TGCTAGGCACACCCTCGTCTCTGAGCTGCTGAGGCTACACTGGCATCAACAATATTGCTTACTTGAAAAAATGTTCCACGTTGGACTCGGATTTCAGAAGGATATTTGAAATAATAAAGCCGCTGCCAGCTCTGCAAAGTTACACAGAGAAGTCCCTTTTCTCATCCAGTTTGGCTCTAGCTTGGAGCCATGGAGGTGGAAAGGGTCATGTCAGGACTGCATGATCTGAACACCCAAGCCAGAAGAGCCCAGAAGGGAGAAATGTTAAAGACAGCTGTGGGCTTTGTCTTATAACATGCATTTTCTTGCAATACAGTTGAGAGCTGCATTCTTTTGTGGCAGTTTTGTAATTCATTCATTCATTCTATCAGGGATGAGTTTGAAGGACAAACAAGATCAGGAGATCCCTGCAGATTATTTAGAGGTGAGATCCTGCTTAGGTGTACTCCAAGACCACCTTTGCTCCCATATTCAAGAATACCCAGTAAGCATATGGCTGTGCGTTTCAGGCCCTGAGCTTGCCCAGCCCCAGGACACACCAGTGTCCACAGAAGCAGAGTACTTTGCAGAGAAGACACACCTGCAGCTGCACACAAAGGGGGCTGTGATGGACATGCAGACTGCAGCGCCTGCTCTGATTACTGCCCTCACATTTTGTCCAGAAATGAAGCAGAGGCATCTTGGAAAAGTTAGCCACAAGAGAAAGTCCACGTCCCAAACTTTTATTCCTGAATGACAGAGCAGAAAGGTACTGGAGGCATCTTTGAGGTCACCATTCCTCAAAGTGTGTTCTGAGTAATACTGGCTTATTCCAAAATATAAAAAATGTGTCAAGGTCAAGTTAGTACAAAGAAGGCTGGTTCAAGCTAAATTAAGCTGGTTTTTATGCTATAGGCCTTAAAAGAGCTTTGATGTATTTATTGCCTTGTGAAATACACAAAAGGAGAGGCAGGGGCTACTGTATGAAACCGTTCCCGAGTATTTTTGATCACAGTGTCTGGCTTAGGGAGTTTCTGGAAAGTACTGCTCCACAGACTTTACTCTGTGGCACTCTCGTCTACGCTCTCTGTCCACAGACAAATGAACTCAGGCCAGAGAGGGACTGGACTTTGCCCAAAAGCTCGTAAGAGCAGAGGGAAGGGTGGGAGGAGAACCCAGAGTCCCTCACTGGAAGCAGGCTCTTCAGAGCATGTGGTGTGGCCTTGTGTACCACTAGCACATGGGAAAATGGGATCACATGGGCTGAAGCAATTCTGGGCTCTTCCGGAAGGAGACAGGACAGCCTATGGCCCTGGGAGCCAATGGCTTGTTGGTTAAAGCGCGATGTCATGAAGACACAGGTGCACCCTGGTATTCCCAGAAGGGACCTATGTGTGGAGGAAGCCTTGTCAACCAAGGAGATGACTCCTTCAATCTGCAAAGGATGAGAATGCTTAGAGGTGTATTTTCCAGGCCCATCTTCCTAAAGCCTCCCCCAGTTGCCACCCCCACATCAAAATGACCCCACCGCGGCCTGTCGTGGGATTCTCTGTTGCTGGGTACTTGGAGGTCTCTTTTGCCCTTGCTCCACTCTTCCTGTGAGTTTTGTTTCCAGCCAGTGTGAGCTCCCCAGTGGCTGATAAGACCTTTGAGAACAGAGCTGGTAGCTGATTATCCTCCTGATAGTGAGTGTTTATCAAGAACTGCCCGGGAACTGGGCACAGTGCTTGGCATTTTGCAGTGCTCAGAGATTTGCACAAATCCTGGGCACAGTGCGGTGATTTGCACAATCCTCTCATTCACCTTCACCACAACCATTCCTGTTTTATGGAGGAGAAATAGGCTGGGGAAGTTGAAGCGACTTGCTCTAGTAAATGATGGATTCAAACCCAAGCCTTGGTTTCTCCTTCCTGGCTGACATGTGAAATTAGGCCGTGCTGAGTTCATCTGGGACAGTGCCATAGGCATCCTTGCTTTTCTAAGACAGTGGCTTCCTGGGTCTTGCTCTTGACTCAAAACCTGGTCCCTACAAGTCTAAGGTCAAGGTCTCCAGCCTGGGACCAAGCACAGAGGTCAGCCCCATCTCAGCTTGTTGACTGTAACAGGACCTGGGATGAGAGCGATGATCAGCTGCAGTTTAGAAGGGCAGGCTGTGTAGACTGACATCTGGGATGACTCCAGTCCCCTGCCCCCCATCTCTGTGCTGAGACTTTCCTTGAACTTCAGGGATCCTAATATCATCCCTTATGTCCACAAACCTTTCATGCTTCGTGTCAAGGTGGGGCTTTCCTACCAATTACCCATGTCCTGCTTTTATTAATGTCAGAAAAACCTGGATGCGTGGTTCATAGACTCTGTCAGTGTGAGTGAAATTTTAACAGTGATGACACCCAAGAACCTCTCCAGAGTTCTGCTTGGGCCAAGGTCTGGGGTCTCCTTTCTTCCATAATTAAAAATTCACCAGTGAGGACAGAGAACTCATCAATCTTTCATCCCAGCAGTCCTCAGGGGGAAGACATGGGCCCTGATGAGGGGGGTTGGCTGCCCTCAGTTTGTGGGGTCACTGCCATGAGTGTGAGCTTGCGGCCAGATGGGCCCAGACAAGCCTGGAAGCCTCTTGACCATCACAGGAAGAGTACAGGAGGAACAGCTTGGCTGATCGCTGAGACTGAAACATTGGAGAAACTTCCACAGAGAACCAGTGTGTGAGTGAAATATTACTCAGCCCTAAGAAAGAATGGGGTCCTTGTCATTGGTGGCAACATGTACAGAATAGAACTGGAGAACACTGTGTTGAGTGAAAGAAGTCAGGCACAAGAAGGCAAACCCTGTGTCTTACTTGTATGAGGGAGCTGGGAAAGTTGTTCTTGTAGAAGTAGAAATAGAACAGTGGTTACTAGAGCCCAGGAAAGGAGGGGACAGGAGAGGAAAGAAACAGGAAGATTAACAGGTATAAGGGCACAGACAGAGAGGAGGAATAGCTTCTCATGAAGTTCATTGAGAATTTAAAAATAGCTAATAGGATTTTGAATGTGCCCAACCTGAAGAAATGACAAATGTTTGAGATGAGGGATTTGCTGCTTTCCCCAATCTGATCACTGCACACATCATGTGTGTACTGAATACTATGCTACAGCCCATACGTATGTGCGATCACTGTATATTAATTAATTATATATTGTTAAACATATGTTTTTAAAAGGAAAAAAATGAGTGTATGAAGCAAAACAGGAGCCATCTAAATTACCACGTGGCTAGTTCTGCTCTGAAAACCAAGTGGCACAGTCCGTGTAAGAATCCAACAGAGGCAGCCAAGAGAGCACGCCGGTCTGGTCCTGGTGCCAGCTGTCCACAGGCATGCTGAGGGCAGGGTTCTTCTTCCCAGGACTCAGCTCAGCACATCCTGTAGTTCCTCGGGGCCCTGGCTTCCTCCTCTGTGGCATGGGAGTGATAACAGTGCGGCCGCACAGAGCTGGGATGAAGAACAAGTGAACTGGGTTTGGGGTCCAGCCCTTTGATGAGATGATGGCTCCTGACCCAGCTGTTCCTTCAGTGTCCAAGGAGGGAGGAGGGGAGAAGCTGGCAAACACCTCTGACTCTGCATTCTCTGTTGTGTGACCACTGCAGGTCCCACCCACCCTAGGGCCTCAGTTTCCCCATCTGTTGCAGTTTCCCCAGGTGCTGGAAAAGTGATCACTTGCAGCCCCAGGTTTGGTGAGACCACGCACATCGCCGCCTCTTGCCCAGCTCATATGTCCCAGAGGAGCTTCGGGGAGGGCCATATTCTGGCTATTTGCCTGGCCCTGTGACTGCTCTGTCTAGTGGTGGCTCTCTATGGGTTTCCTGCAGCTCTGCTCCAAGATCTCTGTGAACTCTGGGCTGTGCAGTTCTTTCTAGGAAAGAGACAGCCTGCCCTGTGGTGGGAGGCCTTGCAAAGGAACAGGTTAGGGAGTGACAGATCTGGCTGGGCTGGGTACCAGGTGTGGGACTGTGAGAGGCGGGCACTGGGGGCAGGGCAGCCGAGCAGGTAGAGGCTGGGCAATGTCAGCACCGAACTCCTAGCCTTCGCTGGGAGTGGCTGAGGCGGTATCAGCCTTCAGCCTCTTTGTGGGCCTACTTTAGGAGTGACCTGAGGGCACAGACTTTGTGGGGCTACAGGAAAGAGAAGACAGGTTGGCTGGACCTGAAGCTTCCTCTCCCATTCTCCAGCCTGGTGTGGAGAGGCTGCTGAGAGGCCTGAGGGGCCCTTGGTTGCCCTTGCTGTTTGTTTTCTGTTAGAGTGGGAACCTCTGGCTGGCAGGGTATGGAGTGGGGAGGGGATGTTAAGGTAATTCAGTCTCTACCTCTTTCCCACATGGCCCCCTTGGCCACTTCATGCCTAGACCACTGGTGACAGTACTGTCACAGCAGTCCTCTCTGGGCCCGGATCTGGTGTCCATGCTCTCCTCCCAGTCCTCAGGACTAACGCACGAATAAGGGAGGCCCCGGGTTCGTTCATCCCAGGAAGATGCACTCTTTGTGCTCCTCTGCACAAACCTCCTCAAACAATGTAGGTGCCCAAAGACTCTCACCAACTTAGTGTCCCCATGCTTCTGTCCATAGTTTCAGAGACATACCCCAAGCCACAGCAGCAGGGCCCCAGCCCAGGCTCACTTCCATCTCCTCAGCCTTGATTTCTCCTTCCAGAACTGGGGTTCTGGGTCTGGATTGGATGGAAGGAAGGAAGAGGTAAGGCAGCCTGCCAAGCCAGAAGAACCATCTCTGCATGGGACACACTGGGCCCTGCTAGTCATGGCATCAGACTCAAGGGCCAGGGATCAAGCTCCAGGCCCATGGGGGCGCAGACAGATGTGGGTTCTGAAGTAAGAGCCTGTCACGATGCCAGCCCCTCGCTGCCCACTGGTACAGGGCTCAGAGAGCCACATGTCCCAGGAAGAGCCAGAAAACCCAACCCAACCTTGGAATGAAACCCTTGGTGTCCAATATCAGTATTGTTTCAAATATTACATTTTAAACAGATCTGGATTCCTTTCCTGTGGTCTGTGATTGGAAGCTTACGGGCCCCTGACATGTCCTCCTGATCTTATTTTCTCGTCGGGATCTCACGCCAGAGCACGGATGGAGAGCAGTGGAGCAGACTGGTAAGTGGTAAGCTGAGACATCTGCTGGCCTGTGGGTCTCAGCATCTGCCTGGCCACTGTGTGCACTCTGGGATCTCTGGGATCTGTGCACTCTCTGATTGAAAAGCACAGTTTACAAACACCTGTCAGTATGGTCAGCAATCCTCACCCCAGGCCCCAAGTCCTTTCCACAGATTCCGAACCTAGTGGGCAGAGGAAAGGAGTGGGAAGGGGATCTGAAAGCTGCGGTTTAGCTTTATTTCCTGCCTGTGAGTCTGCCTTTTCAGTGTCCCCCCGCAGCCTGTGTGTTACAGTGTTGGACACTCAACCAAGAGGAAGATGCCCTTTAACTGTCTTTTTGAGATAAAGAGCAGTACTTTTGCAGCTACCATATCAGCCATTCACACTTTCACATCTTTTTTTTCACATTTTCATATCCTTTAACTGCATCAGCTTATTATCTCACTGAGAGTTTTTTTTTTGAGGGGGTACATTATACACAGGGCACTAGCTCAGTCTGGGACAGAACAAAGGGCCTGAGAGCATGCAGCAGACATTCCTGAGCTCAGGGACTTCCCAGAGCTGATTGGGGTGCCATCTCTGGCCCTGTCCTAGGTCAGAAGGGGCTCTGGGCTACCCTAGAACCCTTACCATCTGGGAAACAAGCTCCAAAACCTCAGTTTGCAGACCCTTGGCAACATGGCCCTGGGCCTGGGGCTGCCTTGGAGTCCTCTGGGACCAGCCACAGACTCTCTGCCAGTGGCTATAGGTTGCGCCTCCCTGGGGTAGGTGTGTGCAGAGCTGCCTTCTTCCTCTGGGGAATCAGCAGTTGCTTCGGGGCGTTTGAGCAAGGCAGTCCACATACCAAACCCTCTCTGGGCAGATGTGTCGATGATACTGACATCACCACCCCAGCAGGTGACAGGGCTTTGGGAGCCGGTACATGGGACTGCTACGTTTTGATGGAAAAGTAAAAGATGGTGCCAGGGAAAGTCATACCTTCTTCTTTTTTTTTTTTCTTCTCCTTTTATTGAGTTTATTGGTACAATCTAGGTATACAATACAGTTACATTCATTATTGGGATTCTGTACCTTTACATAATAGGTCTTGATTCTCATTTTTCCCCTTGTCCCTGCCCTCCCTTCACCCCCTCCTCCCCTCCCCATTTACAAACACTTTATTTCCATTTTTTCAGTTTCTCATATTTTTTTCCTCTCCCTTATTACCTTTCCCCCACCCTTCCCACTTTCCCTACACCTTTAGCCCTTTACTTCCTATTTCACATTATTAATTATCTCATTAGGATCCTGT